GGCCGCGGCGATGCGACACTCGGGCGCCGGACCCGAGTTCTGGGCCTCCTCTGGGCCACGTCCTAGATCAACGGAACCGTCGTCATCATCGCCAGGATCAAGACTGCTCGCATCACCAGGCAGATGGCCAAAAGCACTAGTATCATACTATGACAAACTCTAGCAAGGATAGCACAGTATCAACGACTGCCAATCGCCAGCGCCCACGCTCATCATCGATGGCGGGCCCATCTAAATCCGGCACAACACGCCCGTCATCACCAACCTTCGCAGTACCAGGAGGCCGTGCGTTGCATTGACCGGGGCTGGACTCAGGTCGCACGACCAACGAACTCGCACGCGAAGGCGGCGTGGCAAGCAAGAATCGTCGACGGTGTCGCCAGAAACGAAGCACCGGCATTCTGCGAAGAGGAGGCCGATGATAAGAGATCCCGTCTTGCCCAGCATGTCCCTGGTCCTTGGTCTTGTAGCCTTTCAGGTCATGGCGATGATCCGACATCTGGGCTTCTGGATCGACCCTGCTGTCGCGCCCATCAGCGGGAGCCCCGCCCGCCAAGGTGGGCAAAAGGATCCGCGAAGCTGCTGCTGGCTGTCTCCGGAGGCTCCCGCAGGCCCCCGAAGCCTCCTGAGGCTTCGGGAGCCGCCTCGCAAACCGAAAGCGCGCCAAGACTTCGAGGCCTCGATCTTCGGCGGCGAGCGAGGGAGAAGTGAGAAGGAGAAGGCCTTCTCAGAAGGCGGCGGGCCTTCTCGGAAGCCCTCGCGCCTTCTGAGGTGTGTCTGTATTCGGGGAAGGCGTGGAAAACTTCTCAGAAGGCTCGGGGACGTCCGAACCTTCTGAGCAGGCCTCCTCCTTCTCTGAAGGGGCCCTGGGGCACACAAATAAATACACACACAAATGGAATGATTCCCCATATTTTCCCATATTTTCTGGGTTTTTGTCTTCGCCCCCACTTCCAATATTTCCCCATATCCTAAGGATTGGGGTTCTTGTTATTACTCTGACGCCTCCCACGCGCGGACTCC